CTCTCTCTCTCTCTCTCTCTCTCTCTCTCTCTCTCTCTCTCTCTCTCTCTCTCTCCATGTGTCAGGCATCTATGTCATGTATTTTAGTAGGTCAGATATTATAGGGGTTGGGGTGGAAACAGTTGCCCCAAACCTGACCCTGTTTAAGGCCCTAATGGATCTGAACCATGACTGGACTTGGCACTTTGGGTCAGGGATTAGATTTAAATCTGGGTTGGTTCAACCACGAACCGTACCTGAATTTCGTTTCTACAAAAATGTGGTCTGGTCTTGATCTGGTCAACTTAGATCCCAACCTGGACTGGATCTCCTATTGTCATGGATGGACTTGGTATCGAACCCAAACTAAGTTGTATTCATACCATAGTTAGCAAGTTGGAGAATAACAATATATCGGCAAATTAGAACATCGGTAATAAATCGATTTTGTGTCAAAAAATAGAGGAAAAAAGAACAGGAAAAAAATACTATTGCCAAAAATGGCTTAAGTTAGAGAACCGTGAATATTTCGAACTTGACAAAAAAAATAAAATAAATAGAATGAAAAAATAGTCCGAAAAAAAAAATAAACAGAATGAAAAAATCAGATATGTAAACATAAAATATTATAAAATTATGAGTTATAATTATTATGTCGATACATTAAAACTATTCAACTATAACTTCTGTGTCCTTACCTAGTATCTCTAGAGTCATACTGGACAAATTTTAGTCTAAGCTTATGATAAATACTATAACGATGCTAACAAATCAGTCAGAAAGCTAAAAGTTACAGGCAAGGTTTGACTAGTTAAGAAAGCAAAACTACCATAGCGCTACGTCTCCGATCACTTAACTAACTAAATAAAAAGAAAAAAAATAGAGGGGCTTCAATGAAGGAAATGACGAACTAGAGAGCGGTAATAAGAGCATATAGGTGTTAGAGAGAGAGATTCAATTCGAATAAAAGAAAGCAGCTGATAAGAAACATAAAGAAAATAAGAAAAGGATAAAAATAGACTATTTACTTTTGGTATAAAAAGATCATAATTATTCTGATCTGTCGGATTTCAAATCAGGTGGTTATGATTATATTATTGACTAAGTTCAAAGTTCTTCAAAAAAATTTATTGTGCTCCCATGCACTTACTACTTCACATAAAGATCTACGAAGTATTTTCTGCATCTAAATTTTTTGGGATCCAATTTAGAGGCACTAGATGGGTATTTCCGAACAAAGAAGAGTGCATATACTTTGCCCCAATGGGAGCACTATATTATACAGTTCCTCCCTCAGTTAAAATACCTAATATGAGACCATTGAATCCATCTAAGTATCAATAAATAACTATTTTAAAAAGAACTGGATTTTGAGTTCTTCGATACTAGATCTTACCCTCTAAAAATTGGATGCTTTGTTCAAAATTGTGACATAATTTTTTGCCTGGCACATTGAGAGTAAGATTTGAAAGAGGATTTTTTTTTGAGGTTAGTCTAGAGGATGATGAGTCTACATATTAAAAATCTTGGGGTCCTAATAATACTCATTGATTGGCTGCTTGAGAGAGTAAATAGATAGTATGCACTCGCTGGAGTACGAAATCTTTTGGTAAATTTAATTAAGAGTCTTTAAACATTATCTATCGTCTCCATTCTATGTTATATTTTATTCAGGCACATACAAAATGCTTTCATTTGTTTATATATTGGAAAATTGTTTCATGTGGGTTGGACCACATTTCTAAGATATGCGGTCTTAATGTGTAAAGCATCAATTTGAAACATGGATGCAAATAGATGGTCTATCTAAAATAATTGAAACTAACAGTCTAAAATAATTCTTCGGCGACAATAACAATAACAATAACAACAACAATAACAATAACAATAACAATAATGATAATAATAATAATAATAAATTTCACTTGAAATCTTAAGAATTCGTTGATAGTTGGAATACATTCGTAGACTGGATTTGCTTATACACTTTAAAGTCTTTCTATATGTCTCCTTTTTATTCATTCAATGTCATAAGGTTAAAACTAGGAAATATTTGTTGTTTTCCCAATGTTTTCTAATATTTTCAATAAAACCTTCGGGGAGAATCTTTCAAATTTCTTTTGTGTGTCTGAAAGATTAACATTCTAAGAATGAACTGCCTATTTCTTGTAGAGTCATACCTAAGTTTTTAAGAGTTCGATATATATATATATATATATATATATATATATATATATA